TCCCTATATTACTGATTAGAAGTGACTTACTTCTGCCATTTTCTTGTTCTTTGTGCATCTTAAGCCTTTTTTGTCTTTTAGTTCTGCTTGCTTTTGTGTTTTGTTGGTTTATTGTAGTGAGCCTTTTTTGTATGTTATTTTAATATATTTTCTTAGTGGTTACTATGACTGTTACATTTAAGAGTTTGTATTTATAATGTGGTGCCAACTAAACTTCAGTAACATACAAGAAATTCTGTATCATTCCTCTCTCCCCCTTTTGTTGTTATAATAACTACATCTTTATATTTCATGTACTGTATAACATACTTTTATCCTTGCTTTTAATATATTTGTTATTAAAACCAACTTTTTTTATATATGTTTTATGTTTTGAGCACAAGTCAAAAAAAAGTTATTCTGTGAAATTTGAATCATAGGGTGAGCTATTACTATCCTCACTAAATGAAAAATACATACTATTTTTGTATATACTTTCAAAAGCTGAAATGTGCATTATTTATTTTTGCTTTAAAAACATAAAAATCCTGTATTTAACAGGTAAAGGAACTGAAACAAGCATAGAATATTCTTTAATAATAATAATAATAATAAAACATATATACTTACTGGTGAGTCCTGTAAATTTTCATGCAAGTAACGCTGAGTCCGCTTCACAACAGACACATCAGATCCCAAGAAAGGAATGGCATATTTGCTGAGTTCTCTACAGTAAGAAATCTGCCACCTGTATGAAAGACTCATGAGTATTTGTATTTCCTCTAGTTACAGACCACAGCTTTAGCTGGTAAATTATTTTTCTAAATTTTATATATTTTGTTGTTCATGAGAACAGCAACAAGAACAGCAAATATACCCAATTCTCCATGTACAATTTAGTGATAGTGATTACATTCTTTTGAGTTTTGCAACCATTTGCACTCTCCTTTTCTGAGTTGTTCCTCCCTACATGGTTAATTTTTGAATAAACTTTTAAAATAACTTTTCTATATTAATAACAATGAAGATGGCAGACTTGCTCATAACTAATGTAGTTTTAACTACATGTTAC